CAAAGGTTTGTAACCACCAAGGTTGGATTCGTTAATGTAATATCCTTAAACGCGAAAACAAAAGAAAGTTTAATTTCCTGAGTGATGTAGGGAATGCTCTTATGACCATCCGAATAATAATAAATGCTCTTATGACCATCCGAATAATAATAACAATAACAATAACAATAACAATAACAACAACAACAATAATAATAATAATAAAGGCACAAAGAAGAGTTCTACAGATCATTTGCCAAATCTAGACATATATTCTCTGTCCAACATTCAGTAAACTTTCATGAGGAACATGAAAGATTGCACTGTTTCCCCTACATATCTTTCTAAGAAAAGCATATACGTAATCAATTGTTATTCTCTTGAAAAGCCTAGAATCTGTTCTTGCATGTACTGCTGTATTGCCAAGAATATGCACTGTTCCAGCTTCCCTACACTTGCTCAGAAACTCTATTTCATTAATCTCTGACTGCTGTCCCTTCTCTCTGGCTGACCTCAGGCTGTCAACTGAAGAGATTGTACTGTCTACACATGAGGAAACTGCGTAGTCATTATTTGAAGGATGGCTATCCATTGAATGCTCAATCTGCTGATCACCTGAACTACATCCATCTGATTCTGAACCAGCTTCCATCAGGTATTCAAGCCGCACAAACTTGAAGAGGTTGTCAAAGAGATTCTTCTCAAAATCATCATCTTTCTTGTGTAAATCTTTGTAACCATATCTAGCCACACAACGGAACATACGAAGATTTTTGGGTCCAATTCGTGTCACGTGAAATCTTTCCCTTTCAGGCACTGTATACACTGGGAGATACTTCAGACACACAAAAATAACAACAGAATGAATTGCAGGAAGGTTTGTGATCAGATGAGAAAAGATGTGAGGCACTCCACTGGCGAGTTCAGTGTACACTAGTCCGACACCAGGGACCCGAACCAGACCTAAACTGGGGCCGAGGCTAAGAATCCATGCCAGTGAAACCATACTATGCAGCTCAAAGTGATAACGTTTGACTGTACCATAATGCCAAGCGCCCATGATGATGAAAAGGGCTGCTGCAATCACCAGAGGGACCCAACCGCCTTGATCCACTTTGAAAAGCACGGAGAAGAGGTATGCAGCCTCCACAATTATAGACAAGACTGTAAAGATCATGACAAGCACCCAATGCCAATGCCATATTAATATCATGATTAGAATAGTAAGAAATGTTGTTACCAACATCACCATCACTACCGCTGTCCCTGTTATGACATGAAAAACATTTTTCAAATAATTAGCTTGAATGCAAAGGGTGAGAAGGACTAAGATTTTTACTTCATTACCTAAAGCATTCCCAATTTCACTTTGTTTCTTGAATCCAGCTGTGACAGCAATGCAAAGAACCAAAAGAATCCAATTAATATCTGGAATGTATATCTGGCCTCCAAATTTCTTTGATGTATGAACAACTTTGACTCTTGGGAAACAGCCAAGTGCAACAGCTTGCTTGATCAAGGAAAATGTTGCAGTTATGGTAGACTGGCTTGCAACTACAGCCGCTCCTGTTGCAATAATAAACATAGGCCAATATGTCCTATCTGCAGAATAATGAACATCCAGCAGTGGTCAGATGTTGGTAAAAAAAAAGCAGTAGTCAGACAAAAAACTTCCTACATAAGGAAAAGTACAATTTTCACAGTAAGGATGTTCTTGTTTCTTTATCGTATTTTTTGCTCTTAGGAAGCATACTTATTAATAGTGATTCGACTTTTGTTCTGTTAGTTTCTTCTTCCACTGACTTCTTTTCATCCCTCAAACACAGCCATACAGCTAAGACTTGAAACTAGAACAAACCTGGAATAGAATGATAAAAGGCACCAACCACATGTTCTGAATTTTCCAAGAGATAGGCAACTTGTCCGGTATAGGCAAGGAGCAGGCACGGGAATACTATGACTGTGAAAGCAATCTGTATAGACGAGACACGAAAATAGGAAAGCTCAGCAAAGAGGGCTTCCGTTCCTGCAATATTTGACAAATAGTCATCATCTGAACCCAAAATCACAATATCTTATAAATTTGCGAATCCTAAAAAAGAAAATAAGTCAAATGACAAAGAAAGAAAGAAAAGGTTTACCTGTTATGCTAAGCAGTATACCTCCAAGAGAAGTCCAGGCACGTTTTCCTCCCCTTTTGAAATAACGATACATGTACATAGGTGAATATGCTTTGAGGGCAGCAACATCATACTTCCAAATGTTGAATATGCCAATGCCTCCAATTAAGAGAAGCCAAAGAAATATAATTGGGGCAAATAGCCAACTGACTTTATCTGTACCATAATGTTGCATGCTAAACAAACCAACTAATATCATAACAGCAACAATCACAACCACCTCTGTTTCATTAAAACACATATATTAGAGAGAATTTAAGAAAAGCAAAAGATTAGAAGAAGTTTTGCCTCAGGAGTGGCAGATACCATCACTAATATTGCGGTTCTGTAGCTTGATCCCACCAACAGCTGATAGAACTGTTAAAGATAGTATGAGGAAGAAACCTGAACTCAGGAGCACAGATACAAGAGCATATAGAATCAAGCATAAAGAAGAATATACCTGATATGGCTGGAGTGAGAATCCCATCCCCAATCACCATGCAAGAGCCAATGATGACAAGAATGATAAGTAATTGCTTCATGTATCTCTGACCCTCCAGCCATTTCTTGGTTCTCCCAGCTATTGACTCTTTGCAACATGAAGAAGTACTATATGTTGTTAGTGCCTCATCAGTCTGATCTTGATTAGGAATACTTTTTATATTTACATGTCGGCAGAGTAATGAATAAAGAGCAAATGTTCCACCTGCACCACCAAAGGAGAAGTTTAGAAGACATCACCAAAACTTTATCAGCATGGGGTACAGAAAAGTGGTGCATCAAAGATATTTGCTATACAACATTGGTGGCAAAAATTGTAGAACACTAAGCATGCATGATATTGTCAGAAAAAACAGACTATAATGGCATCATTTATTTTCATGACAATAAAATTCCAATTTCAACAATATAAGTTATGTTAAGATCAGTTACCTTGGCCGTTGTCATTTGCTCTACAAACAATAAAAACGTACTTCAGGAGGGGGATAAGAGTAAGGGAATAAATAATTAGTGACAGAGCTCCAAGCAAATCTTCTGGTTCATCAATTCCCTCTGGAAATGTATTGTTGAAAACATACAAGGGAGATGTACTCAAATCCCCATAAACCACTCCCAGGCTTTGAAATGCGAGCTGCAGAACCACTAGACTCGAGATTTTCTAGAAGGGAACAAAACCAAATAGAGAATGTGTTTTTTATGAATGTGTGTATCTTTGATAAGAAAAAGGAATTTAAGGGGAGTGCATTATACCTCTGGCTGGTTGATTTTAGACCTTCTAGATTCTTCACCAATAGGTTGATCAAGCTTCTGATTTGAAACCCACATTCTACCTGCAATGCCAGCATTTTCATCAGTCTCCCCTTTAAAAGCCATATAAGGCCTGGTTAAAATGACTTCTGCCAGTCTATCCCTTTAACCAATTTTCAACCCCAATATATTCTTTCTCAAGATGTTGCTATTCTCCTCAACATCACATGTAAACTGAAACACGACACTACTACATAAATGTTTCAAGCAGATTAATGTAGCAGATCAAATCACGGAGAAAACAAAGCTCCAAACTCCCCAGGTCAACCCCAAAATCTAAGAATCAATTCTATGGGCATGAGAATGGGACCAAACAGTCACCACCACAACAGCTAATCAAAGGCTATTCATTGTCATGAATAATAATAGAAGCAAAGAGGACACCATGGCAGACTTAAAAGACAAGACAAGAAACAAACTTTTCACTTAGAACACAAAGAAAAATTTTTTTAAAAAAAATGAAATTCATTTCGATTCCAACAAGCTATCTTGCTTTAAAATGAAGAACCCCCAGAAAAAGCCACCATCAAATAAACCAGATGACAACTACGTCAAATACGTAATGCAAGCAAAACCCATTAAAAGATACGAGATTTTCAATCATAAACAAATAATTTGTGGAGAAAATCAAGTAGCAATGTAGCAACCACTATGAATGTTACATACCCATGAATCAAAAGAGAGCAGAAATTTAAGCCGTTGTATAGACTCCAGGGCAACAGTGAGGGAAAATCCAGTCTGCAATTAAAGTTAAATTTTATTGCTCAAACTGATTTAGTAGTTCGTTCCCAACACGAATGATAGCCATCTCATAGTTAGAATCCCCAACACAATCCATCTTTACTCATTTTTTTGATCAGAGCCGTTCACCTTTCCTGTTTCCTTGTAAGAAAAGAGCCCATATGATGGAATATCATCCAAGATAATCCGAATGGCAAGGACGATCGCGGAAATCGCAGTTGGATCAGGTCATCTAACTCATGCAAAATCTACGCTTCAAAATCGTTTTGTTTTTGTTATGTTCTAAATCTTAAGGGTCGTAAAATATTTGTACGTGAGTTATTTTTGTGTTATTTTTTTGAGCCAAATGTATCCTTTTTTATTAATTATTGTGATTATACATTATAATATTAAAAAAGAACGTCTGCTTTTTTTTTTTCGTTTCTTATTTTCAATACATAAAATAAAAAATTGAACTACAAAAAATGAACAATGAGAAAAAATATAAATAAAAATATTAATTTTATTATTTTTTATTTAAAAATATAAATTTTTATCATTTTTAAATTTTTAAATAAAAAATGTAAAATTTATATCTTAATTTATAAAAAAAAAAAACTTGATACTTATTTCAAAACTAAAATAAAATTAATATTTTTAAATAAAAAAAACCAAAGTTTATATCCTTTATTTGTACCATTATTTCATGAATCAACAATTATGCATTAACAATCTAAGTTATTTATCAACGAATGTATTGGTTTCGAGTGATTTGAATTTGCTTTTTCAAATTTGAATATTGTGAATGAAAAAATAAGTGTTCGAAGAGTACCTATTGTAAAGTCCGACGTAACTCGATTTCAAATTAATTAAAATCTAATATGATTACTTAATATCAAAGGGTTAATAAAAAAAAAAAACCAATCTAAGTTATTTAATAATTTAAGTTTTACGGTTTATATTATCTAAAAACTGTTTTGCAGAGTGAACTGCATGCAGTCTATCCTATACAATTATTTAAATATTTTTTAAAAAATAATATAAAAATAAATATTTAAATAATTTTATAGGACGAAATTATATGTAAAACAGTTTTATCTTATATTATTTACACTGCAAAATTAGGGAACATGAAAGAAAGAAAAGAACTGGGAGGATCTTCATAGATAAAGAAGGGACATAATTTTTACCATTGCCAAAAGACAACTGGACAACAAGAGGACAAAGTCACAATAGGTTTATACAAAAAATACTTGCCCAACATTCAAGAGACTCTCATGGGGAACATTGAAAATCACACTATTCTCCCTACATATCTTCCTAAGAAAAGCATATACATAATCAATGGCTATCTTCCTGTAGAACCTTGACTCCCTCCTTGCCCTCACCACTGTGTTACCCATAATGTGCACCACCCCAGCATCCCTACAACTATTCAAAAATTCTAGCTCATCAGCCTCGGTCGGGTTGCTCCCCTGACCGGATGATTGGATGGTGTTATGTGCATGCGTAGGGGATTTCACTGGCACAATTGAATCCACAGATGAAATTGTAAGGTCAATGTCGGAGCAAGCTGTGTTTCCATTATTATTCAGTAGAGCATCTCTGGACTGCTGGGTTTGCTGGCCATAAAAACTGTATTCATCAGAATCTGAACACCCTTCCATCATTGACTCGAGCCGGACAAACAAAAAAAGGCTATCAAAGAGCTTTTTCTCAAAATCATCATCTTTCTTATGGAGGTCTTTGTAGCCATACCTAGCAACACATCGAAACATGTGGAAACTCTTGGGTCCAATACGCTTTACAAGGAACCTCTCTTCTTCTGGGACTGTGTAGACAGGAAGATACTTCACACAGACAAAAACAACAACAGAATGGATCGCAGGCAGATTGGTGATGAAGTGGGAAAAGATGTGGGGAACACCATTAGCTAGCTCAGTATACACCAGTCCAATTCCAGGAACACGGACCAGTCCTAAGCTAGGGCCAAGCCCTAGAATCCATGCCATCGATACCTTACTGTGCATCTCAAACTCATATCGCTTAACTGTACCATAATGCCAAATGTACATGATGATAAGAAAGGCTGCTGCAATCACAAGGGGTACCCATCCACCTTGATCAACCTTGAAAAGCATGGCAGAAAAGTAGGTAAACTCCACCACCAGCGACAAACCAGTAAAAAGCAGGACAAGAATCCAATGGCAGCGCCAGACTAAAATCATGATTAGAATCATAAGCATTGTGGTTACCAGCATAACTATAACCACCGCTGTCCCTGCAGTAAAATAAATTACAATGAACTCCAGTGCAAGTATGATTTTGAGTTCAAGTCTTGAAATGGTATCATAAGTTATGTAAACCATTTTAACAAAGTATGAAAGTAATAATAAATTTTGTAAGCTGCCCATCTAATTTTAAGGTGCAGTGGGTGATTTGCAAAAGAATACACACCCAAAGCAGCAAAATGAAGAGTCATTACTGTATAAATGGGAAGCTAGAAATGGGAGTCTGAATTGTGTGACTCATTTATCAGATTTTTAGGAAAAAACAAGAGAAGTGCATCTATAACATACCGATCAAGAAAGTGGTGCATCTATAATATAATTCATTTATACTTAATATTAAATGTTAGATAACAAGCAACATGAGTCCACCATTTTTAAAACTTGCGCCTCAGATGCTGCATGTAATAAAAACATCCATAATGAATGAAACATCATGCCTTCTCCTCATCCATTACTCCATTTTTTTGGGTACATTTGATAATGGGGATATACAGCAGTGGATGGTCCTCCCCTTCCCAAACCTCTCCCCTCTTGCCCCAGAATTCAAAACTGGAGACCTTCAACATAGAGACTCAACCTCTTAACCATTAGGACATCCTTGGGAAACCTCATCTATGACCAACCACATATCAATATTACCAACCAACCAAAAGATAAATAACAGATCAATTAGGCTTTGTCCCCTGAAATTCTATTTCTACCAACATTCATTACAGACACAACTTAGAAAGGACACTGTCAATCCATCTTGATATAGATAATGTGGAATTTACTAGTTATAGACTACCTTTAACTAATACCAAATTTTAACTGGTCTAGAATAAACCACAAATTTTCAAAAATATTTACTTTTAAATAATGCAAACCCTCACCAAAAGAAGACCAGGCCAATTGTGAAACCTAAAATTTCTGATCAACTTATTATAAACGGCTGGTGGTTTAAGAACCTTTGAGATGCAAATAATAGTGTGATTAAAAAGAATATTATTCAAAGAAAGAGAACAATTCTTTTCCCCTGTTAAAGTTCCTTTTGTAAGATGTCTGAACTTTTGCCTTCCTAAACTTGTGCTGCTGATGTGAAAAAGTATGGCATAATTTTGTAATGTAACATTTTCTACAAAGGAAAAAATTTTCAGCAGAAGGGAAGAAAATGCACAAACATACTTATGAAAATTTGGCAGGGGATAAATTAACTTAGTACTTACCATAAGCATTTCCAATTTGGCTTTGATTCTTGAATCCAGCAGTCACAGCAATGCAAAGAAGCATAAGGATCCAATTAATATCAGGAACGTATATCTGGCCAAGGAACTTCTTAGATGTATGTACAACCTTCACCCTTGGAAAACAACCAAGAGCAAGTGCTTGCTTGATTATCGAAAAAGTTGCAGAAATGGTAGCCTGACTTGCAACTATAGCAGCTGCAGTCGCAACAATAAAAACTGGCCAATAAATGCTATCTGCAAAATAAGAAAAATTTATGAGAAAATAAGTCCCAGCATTTAAGCACCCCAACCATTTAAAAGGAAAAATAATATGTTCTTGGAGAGGAAAAGGCTGTCATGTTGACATTGTATTGAAATTTCAGAGGATTATAACCAACCACAACAGGTTAGAGACAAGAACAAACCTGGAATAGAATGATAAAATGCATTAACCACATGATCCTTATTACTTATGAGGTATGCAGCTTGTCCACAATATGCTGAAAGAAGACAAGGAAATACAACCACAGTAAAAGCAATCTGTACAGCTGCAACAGGAAAATGGGCTAGATCGGCAAAAAGAGCCTCAGTCCCTGAAACCAATGATTACCGGTGATCAAATCCTCTTCTCCTTGTAATGAGTGTGCACAACATGCTGAATAAGGATTGGCCAAAAAAATGCTGAATTAGGAAAAATGGATAATAATTTTACCTGTTATGCTAAGCATAATGCCTCCAAGAGAGGTCCAATTGTCTTTCCCTCCCCTACCCAAATAGCGATATATATATACAGGCGAAAAGGCTTTTAAAACACTGCTATCATATTTACAAATATTGAATATGCCAATGCCTCCAATTAAGAGAAACCAGAGGAGCACAACTGGGGCAAAGAGCCAGCCAACTTTATCTGTACCATAGTGTTGCATACTAAACAAACCCACTAATATCACAACAGCAACAACCACAACTACACCTGTACGATTGAAAGGAGAGTATCAATTACAGATTTAGAAGCTAAAGTAGTAAACAACTAAGAGAGAGAGAAGTCTACTTTAAAAGGAGTATGGCGTACCATTATTGACACTAGGGTGGTCTACTTTGATGCCTCCAGCGGCTGAAAGAACTGCCAAAGAGAGTTGTAGGTTGTGAGGCTTCAATTAAGGTGGACTTTAAACAAATTGTCATTTTGGTACTAAAGAGATATTGAACGTTCAAAGAGGTCTAACATGAAAGAAACCACTAAACAGCATACCTGATATTGCCGGAGTGAGAATCCCATCCCCAATCACCATGCATGTGCCAACAAGGACAAGAATAAGAAGTGCATTCTTCCTAGATGCATGTCTCTCCAACCATCTCTTGGTCTTTGCAGCAAAGGATTTCTCATGAAAAGTAGAACGACTATAAGTTGTTAGATCCTCATCAGTCCGGTGTTGATTTGGAATAGTTTTTATTTTTGCATGTCGACAAAGCAACGAATATAGAGCAAATGTTCCACCTGTGTGATAAAGAGGATGAGCTCTAATGCTACCTTATCAGCATCCAAAGAAAAGGAAGACTGTGTTCTGTATAACTGGTACTGCCATAAGTCCTATTTTTTTTATTTATGGAAATTAAGTTCTATCAAATATTGATGATACATGGAAAAAAATTCTTCCAGCATACCGTTAAAATTTTGTGAAGGCCTAAAACATCAACACTATTTCATTGAACAGAATCGCAGAAGAATGCATTAATAGACGAAGCATTCCCACTAATTGATATCAGCTTACCTTGACCATTGTCATTTGCTCTACACACGATAAAAACATACTTTAGGAGCGGGACAAGTGTAAGGGAATATATAATCAAGGAAAGAGCTCCAACAACATCCTCCGAATCTTTTATTCCATTGGGAAATGTATTGTAGAAAACATACAAGGGGGAAGTGCCCAAGTCACCATAAACCACTCCAAGACTCTGGAATGCAAGGCGGAGTAGCAATATTGTAGAGAATTTCTACAGAAATTGAACTTGTATCAGAATAAGATAATAAACCAAAGTACCAGTGCGTCCAAACATCCAAATAATCTAACGTGTAACTGATTGAAAGGGAAGAAAATCTACTTAAGTCCAATGAACTCTGTCAATTTGGAAAAGCTGGAAAAGGAGAGTAACTCAGAAGTAGAAATAACCATTAAAGCGTACCTTCTCTCTATACATGTTTCTAAGCCTTCCGGCCTCCTCATCCATAGACTGATCGAGCCTCTGATCCAAAACCCACATGCTACCTTTGCTGCTGTCACCTTCATCAATCTCTCCTCTTGAAGTCATTTCCATGCTCAATTCAATATGATTCTCAAGCTTTAGCCAAAAACCCAATTTTCAATTTCTGAGTACTTTAGATTTTGATACGCAAAAAAGCAACCAATAAATCGGAGCTTCGAAACTCTAAAAGCACACCAATTTGATGTTACACGAAGTGATTTAAATCCAATTTCTCAAATCTAAACTTCACTTGAAATCCATGTCCTCCAGTTCAGCAAAGAATTGAGAGTTGAGACCTACCAATAAAATCCTGAAAATAAAGGAAAAGTCGATCCATTTTAATCCCAACATAAACAAAAAGAAAGGAAAAGCACACTTTCTAGATTTCATTAATTACTTGAAAATTTTGCAACTTGGACTTTGAGTTGACGCCCTCAGGAAAAAGGTTGAAAAGGAACCAAAACTAAACACCTTTACACCGTACCACGAAAAATTAAAGTAAACCCACCAAGAACAAGTTAAAAACAAACTAAAAATCCCATGACAGAAACCTCAATTCAATCCCAACAAGCTTAGATAAATACTGGAGAAAAAAAAAAAGGGGATGGAACAGGACCGAGCAAGCTTTCTAAAGCTTCCTTGAAGAGCAGATAATAGTGATAAAAAACAAAGTTTTTTGAATTAATCAGGATGAAAAGACTCCCCAGGTAGTGGGGTCAAGCTTAACATCAACCACAGGGTGCCAAAGAAACCGAATAAAGCAGTAAAATTCTTCGCTTCTATGACATACCCATAAACCAGAAGAGAAAGATGATCAAAACCCAGGTCGATTTTGGTTCTGATTGCTGTAACAGAGAAATAAGGAACCTACTTTTCTC